CAGCACCCGCCAAAATGCAAAAACAAGCAGCACCAGGAGATACTTTCAGAAGGCATAATAATCTAATATAGTATGGAAAACTTGAGATTATAAAAGAAAATAAGATTAGACTATAAAACTATATGAAATCTTTCATGTTTACATCGTCAGCCATTCACGATTACCTTGCCTATAAATGACGTCATTTTCAAGTCAAACATAATTGGCAGCATCAGAAGGGTACAGCGCGGAGTCTAGCTTCTCGTGAAAAAAGATGGATGACCGAACTGCGTTGTGACGATCATTTTTGTGGATGTTGCATATTGTAAAATGAACCTATTACACTGTGCTAAATAGTATTAAAATGCTATATATTAAAAGATCTTTCATCTCATCTAAATATTAACAAACCGCTCATTATTTTCTCTTAAAATCACAATGATTTCACGACATTTCTTGTTTCACCCCCCGGCAAGTGATTTTGTACCGGATGAAAGAATAGGGTAAGTTGATTACCTTATACTTCCGTTTTGAAGTTATTGATTATTGTTTTACTGAAGTTTAAAATACTTTTCTTGCCTAATTTTTATCTGAATATTTTAAACTTAAGACAAAATGGAAGTGATGAAAAGAAACAAAACTGCGCAACGTTCAGCTTTTACTAAAGCATATAAAAGACTAGATGAACTTTTAAATGATGATAATGTTGATTATGAAGAAGCAGAAATGTGTTTTTATTTGTTCAAGAAAAAGGGCAGAAACATTAGAATTGACGCACAGTGCTTATTTAGATACTATAACTGATGATAAAGAATTCGAAACAGAATTTGAAATATAGAGGACTATCGAGAAAAGGCTGTTAGGATACAGTTTAAAATCGGAACGATTTCTCGATAATATTAAGAGTAAATTAAACGAAATCCAAAATACATCGTCAGAGAGTAGTCAGAAATTAGTTACTGATGAAAATACATGTAAAACTTTGTGCCAACGCCTACCGAAAGTAGAACTTTATAAGTTCGCAGGTGATTTAAAAAAATTGGCTTACGTTTGGAATCAGTTTAAAAACATACATGAAAATAATAACTTAACGAATGCAGACAATTTCCATTATTTGATACAGTCAACAAAAATTAAATCAGAAGCTAGAGATATTGTAGAATCTTTTCCTGTGACGAACGAAAATTATCCTTTGGCTATAGAAAGCCTTACTGAGAGATATGGCCGTAAAGAACTTTTAATTGATTTTTATGTTCGAGAGTTAATAAAACTTGTTTTGGATAACGCAGCGAAAAAGGAAGCAGGATTCTTTGAGTAGTTTGTATAACAAACTTTCAACACAACTTAGAGCCCTGAGCAGTCTTGGTGTGAACAACTGATCAGTGTGGAACAATTTTATATCCCTCTTGTGGAAAGTGCTATTCCTATTCACGTATATGCGATCGTTTGAAAGACAACGAAAAATTACTGAATCTGAACGAAACATTTCGAGTCTTGATGCAATAATTGAATTTCTGAAAAGCGAAGTTCAGTCAGAGAAAAAAATAAAATTAAGCAGAGCGGATATTTTTTCTAAGTGTCTGATCGTAAGCACTTGGCAACTAGCCAAAATATTCCTTCCGCGTCGGATTTGATGAATCATGAAGCAATACCTTCTTGTTCGTTTTGTTTAAAAAGATCATGAAACGCGTAACTTGTAAAAAGGCGTTTTATATTCCGTTAGATGAAAAAATGTCTGCGGTAAAAAAGAAAGGTTTATGCAGAATATGCTTGGTTAAAGGTCACCTCAGTAACCAGTGTCGATCAAGTGTTAAGTGTCAGATCTGTTCAAAAAGGCATTTGAAATTTTTTTGTCCTAGTCTTGAATGTAATAAGTCTAGTGAAATGCATAACCAGGAAAATGATGAGAAAAAAAGAGAAAAACAATCGATTCTTTGCATTCGCGTGCTACGAATGAAGTTTTCCTTCAGACCCTAGTTGTAAACATAGAGGGTAAGAATAAAAGGCGTAAAGTTAGATTAATGATTGATACGGGTAAGCTCAAAAAGTTATGTTTTAAAGTCTACCGCAGAAGAAATGGGTTTTGACTTGCAATGGGAGGAAGAATTTAGTCACTCTTTATTTGGTGGAACGAAAACTGAAATTTATAAACATAAATGTTACAAGATTTATTTGAGTAGCCTTGATGGTAAATATTCGTGTAAATTAGATGCTGTAGACCATGATGTTATTTGTAATGATATTTCAAGCATAAGATACGGTTCTTGGATTCGCGAATTAGGAAATAAAGGGAATACGCTTAACTGATACCCAAGGGAATCCAGGCCCTATTGAAGTACTGTTAGGGGCAGACGTTGCAGGGAAGTTATTTACTGGCAAACGAGAAGAACTAAGAACAGGTTTAGTGGCTATAGAAACAAAATTGGGTTGGACTTTGATGGGTAAAGTACCTCAATCCGAACATCAGCACAATGTAAATATGACTATAGTTTCTATGTTATCTCAAGAAGACCTGCCTATTTCATCGTTGTGGGACTTAGAATTATTGGGTATCCGAGATCCTGTTGAACAAAAAACTAAAGAAGAGTCAAGAAGAGCTATTATGGTTCATTTCCAAGAAACAGTTCGTCAATTAGAAAATGGTAGATACGAGGTTGATATGCCTTGGAAGATTGAGCATGCAGTCTTACCTGACAATTATGACCTATCTTTGAAAAGACTCGAATCTACTACGAAGAAGTTGGAAAAAATCGGATATCGTGAAAAGGTATCATGAAGTCTTTAATGAATGGCTGCAGGAAGGAGTGATTGAAGAAGTTCCCCAAAAGGAGTTGTCTTTACCCGTTGTTCATTACCTCCCACATCGTCCAGTCATTAAGGAAACGTCCTCACTATCTTCCATGAAAATTAGACCCGTTTTTGATGCTTCGGCAAAGCTTCCTAATCAGCCATCTCTAAATGATTGCTTAGAGACTGGAATTAATTTGATTGAAACTATTCCGTCTATTCTAGCAAGATTTCGCTTACATGAAATTGGTGTGATTTCAGACATCAGAAGAGCTTTTTTACAGATATCTCTAAATGAAAGAGATCGAGATTTTTTTACGATTTCTTTGGTATGGTAATGATGGTAGAGTGAAGACATTTCGTCACACCCGTGTTATTTGGCATGTGTACTTGTGTCCTTTTTGCGATTTTGCTGCAATTAAGCGGGAAATAAAAATAAAAGAAAAAAGAACGCAACTATTAAATATACATCCAACAATAGGACCATTTACAGGAGTACCCTCTTTTCGAACTTGAGCTAACCCCTCTGTCAATGCCGTGTCTAGCTCTTCAAAGGTGTCTAGCCCTTCATAGTTTCGTGTGTCTGCCGTGTCTAGCCCTTCATAGTTTTTCGCGTTTTCATTGCGGAAGTACTGTTCGACATTGATGCAAAGTTCACCAGTTTGTCTTTTTGCTTTAGAATGTCACGCACTGTTGTTTCCGCGATTCCGTAATCCAATTCCATCTGCTGCCTTGTAGCGCCGTTTGGAAATTAATTCTAGTTTTTGCGCAATCGTCAATACAACCTTCTTTCGCTTTCCTGACATTTTAAATCGATAACGAAAAACACAAAACCAAAAAGCACAAGCACTGAACACAATAAAAGATAAGAAATTAACTCCGGCTGGTTCGCAAACATTATCAGGCTTAAACTAACAACGGCGAGTGGGAGGAAGTGGACGTGTCAGTAAGATTAAGACGAGAGAGGGCGATGGAGCGGGCACTGCAAGGGAGTAAGAAATCACTTACTCATCGGAGGGGGAAGGTTCCAAGAAGGCCTGGCATATTTTTGACATAAATAAGCACGATGTTAGCAAATTTAACGTTTCGCTCAGTTATGTGAACATTTTTATTTTCTTTGCTTTACGCTCGTAAAAAAAAGAAGGGAAAAAAAAAAAAACCTTTGTGCGGCAGGCGCGAAAAATCCGGCCGCGGATAATCGGGAGTCTACTGTATTCAGGCCGGAAGCCAAGTTCAAGTATCCGCCCTTATAAAAGCATATGTAATCAAGTTGCTAAAACGAAGAGCGCTGAACTGATATAGGGAAAAGACTGCAGTGTCAGAAAACTATCGTGATGCCAAATGTGCTCCTGCGTCTCGATAATGATTTGTAGTGTCTCAAAAAATGAGCATCCAGAGGCTGGATTATCCTGTACATCTTTCAGGTACCAGTTCTTGTTGTAGGACTTTACCATAAGGCACTTCGGAAGTAGACAATGCATAATCATACAAGAAATAGAGATGTCGTTACGGGAATATGTCCATCTATATACACTTTAATGATACTTTGTATATCCTATAGCTCCTAAACGCTTGTCCCTCTGCCCCTAAGACTTCGCAGTTTTTCTACTTGTGAAATATTGGGTTTCCGGCAAACCAGTATCAAAGGAGAGAATGTTTACTTGTGAGAGAATATGCATTTTCGGCAAGGTCCGTAGAAACGGACCTTGCATTTTCGGTTTGATATTATTGCAATTTGTTTCTCCTGTGCATCTGGCAACCTAGCTTTTGTTTGGATTGTTGTCATCGGGAAAGTTCCAGGTCCGTGGTTCTAGGTTCTACGCCGTTCCACAGTGATATACGCTTTGGTAATATTAATTATTATTCGTCATTATTATCATCCGTGTAAATAATCTAATTAATATCTGTGTGTTTTTGAATTGAAAATAAATTGGATATTAAACGAAGTTAGAATTTCGAGTCAAAACAGGTATTTAAAAATATATATTTATCTAATCGAAAGAGAGATTATGCTCATGTATACCATGTAACAGTTTTGGACTCGACAGTAATTTAAGCAAGAATATATGCCTTCTTACAATAAGAAAAATAACGAGCTGTTTAAAAAAGCAACACAGGTGTTTTCACACAGGCGGTAAACATTATGTTTCTCTGAAAAATAACAAATCATTTAGATAAAGTGGAGTTTCAGTACACAGGATAGCAATCTTATTTGTATTAGGTCATTTAGTCAAATGGGGAGGAAGAAATCTTATAAGTGTGAGGTATGTAAGAAGTCATTTAAAGGAAGCACTCATTTAAAGTACCATAGGTTAACCCACACAGGAAAAAAACCTCATAAGTGTGAGGTGTGTAACTGGTCATATGTAACAGAGACTGAATTAAATGTACATGCTCGTATTCACCCGCGAGAAAAACCTGTATGTCAAGTGTGCCATAAATCATTTGCTACAAAATGTTATTTAAATGTGCATAAGCTTATTCACACAGGGGAAAAACCTCATAAATGTAAATTGTGTAATAAGTCATTTACTCAAAAGTATGGATTAATTGTGCATATGTTTAGACATGCAGAAAAGAAACCTCATGTGTGTGAGGTATGTAACAGGTCATTTGCAACAAATGTGGATTTAAACTACCACATGTTTAAACACAAAGGAGAAAAACCTTATAAGTGTGAGGTGTGTAACAAGTCATATATACGAAATGTAGATCTATACTACCACATGTTTAAACATACAGGAGAAAAACCTTACAAGTGTGAGGTGTGTAACAAGTCATTTACAATAAAGAGTCTTTTAAAGAAACATTCTCTTATTCACACAGAAGAAAAACCTCTTACATGTGAAGTGTGCAATAAATCATTTATTGATAATTGTACATTAAAATCGCATATGCGTTTGCATCCAGAAAATAAACCCTTTGTGTGTGAGGTATGTAACAAGTCATTTACACGAAAAGCAGGTTTAGATTACCACATTTTTACCCACAAAGAAGAAAAACCGTATAAGTGTGAGGTGTGTAACAAGTCATTTGTACTAAAGTATCTTTTAAACCAACACTGTCTTAATCACACAGGCAAAAAGCCTCATACATGTAATGTATGTAAAGTATCATTCAATCAAAAGGGTGCTTTAAATTCACATATGCGTATCCACACTGAGAAACCTCATGTGTGTGAGGTATGTGACGAATCGTTTAGACGAAAAACTGAGTTAAAGCACCACATGGATATTCACGCACAAGAGACACCAACAGAACTTTATATATGTGATGTGTGTAACAAATCATTTGGAAATGAGATTCTTTTGAAGGCACATGCTATTGTTCACACAGAAGAGAATCCTTATGTTTGTAATGTATGTCAGCGATCATTCAGTCAAGAGTGTTTTTTAAATAAGCATAAGGATAATGCACACACAGTTCATGTGTGCGAGGTATGTTACGACTCATTTAGACGAAAAGCTGATTTAAAACTGCACATGTTTTCTCATACAGGAGAGAAGCCTCATACATGTGAGGTGTGTAACAAGGTATTTACGAAGAAAGGTAATTTGACGCAGCATTCTTTAATTCACACAGCAGAGAAACCTCATGTGTGTAATATATGTCAACGAGGATTCAGTCGAAAGAGTTATTTAAATGTGCATATGCGTATGCACGCTGAAAAACCTGGTGCAAGTAATTTAGACTGGTGTGAGGAGTTATTAGATATGTTATAAGCCATTTAGATGGAAAACTGATTTAAAGAAACATGTGTATTTCCCCAGTAGCATAGCCACATGTGTGTAAGGTATTTAATATGTCATTTAATCAATAACTAACTTCAGTCAGTGTGTACTTCTTCACGCTGAACAGAAACCTTATGTATGTGAGTTATACACAGGACCAGCATCAGAGGTGGTGATGGATGGCAGGATTTATTGAATTTAGAGAGGTACTGACTGGTAAAATCTGGAAATCACTGAGTAGCAAACACCTAGTTCCGGTCCTCGGCATGCAGGAAATCATTTAAACAAAATAGTTAGTGAAGTGAGACTGTGCTTTATCATACTGAAAGGAATGTGTGAGCTATGTAATGAATCATTTAGAGAAAACTGTAATTTAACCAGGCATTTATGTAATTGCACAACAGAGAAACCTTACGAGTGTAAGTATGAGTGTATACTTATGTTCATGAGCAAATGCTCATTTGTACAAAACAGAATCTCATCTGTCAGTGACTTGTGTGAAGTCTCATCTGTGTAAATTGTGCAATTAGTCGTAATACTTTAAGTGTATACTGCATGTTTTTTTTTTTTTTTTTCTATATGCAACAGTTATTTGTGATGGCTACGTGAGCTAGTAACTTGATAATCTTGTGTGTTTTGAATTAGTGCGCTCATCATCCGATTTGTGCTTGATATTTAGATAGATATGGACGTGACACATATTTTTTTTCACAGTATAAGATGAGCTTCTGTGTTTTCAGAATAATTGTTTTCCCTTTCTGCATTCTGTAATGTTGCACTTTTAATGGCCAGTAGTGTATTATGATTACAATAGTTATTAATTGCTTTGTGATTTGGTATTCTGTTATAAGTAGCAAAATGAAGCATCTTATAAGAAATGCAAAATTTTATGGCCATCAAATTAAAAAAAAAAGTCTGTATGGTCACTATTTACATTTCTAGTCATTACATACTGTTCAGTAATGATACTTATTAAAGCTTTTAAATTTATGTGTGCAGCCTGTGCATATGTGGGTGAGCTACTGTCTTGTGCTTGCTAAGAATATCCCAAAAACACAGTAGTTCTAACTAGTGTTGAAAGACAGTACAGCTAACCGAAAAGAACCAAATGTAGTTTTCATGCATACCGATATAAAACATTATTAAACTAAGACTAAAATGTGCTACATGAAATAGAGCGACTATAAAACATGGAATAAAGAATCAGATTATTTTTTTTCATTTTTTATATGCCACAGAATGAAACGCTGTATATGTAAAGGCAGAAAAGTTACATTATATGTGAAGCAAATTATAGCTCAAAATGCAGCTTTTTAGGAAGAGTGTTGGGTTCTGGACCATTTAGCATAACTGATAATGGCATTTTCTGAACAGCTGACAACTTCAAATGCAAATTAATTACAAGCATAAATGTATACAATAAAAAAATAATTACTGAGGTCAAGATATTACTGTATGACCATGAAAATAGCACTGATTTCTAGAATCTACATACATATTTTTTTTCAAATTATATCCAGTTATATACACTATACATTCTTTCACTAGACTTATTGATTCCATCACTCGGGTGGCTTCTCACTGATTCTATATGCCTGAATTTCGAAAAGAGCAAGAAGATTGACTGTCTAGTATCATACTTGCAGTTTTATGAAATAAATATTGGTGCATGTCGGTATGTATTGTTCGTATGTACAAGGCCAGTGCATTCGCACCGGAGGCCAAACTTTTAAAATTTAGGAAGAACCTGGATGGCAGAAATTCGGAAGTCATGGTGTGGTAGCGAAAAGCCAAGCATCAGGACTTTGTATATATCATTTAATAATTTATTACTGAAATCCATTTTAGATAGAGGCATACATTGAGGACACATTTCCATGTTATAAAATGAGGGTTTTCTACATTATGAACTGATGCATTTTCAGCATAAAAACTTTATCTACTTGATCAATATTAGATTTTTTTTTATTCAAGTGTTTTTAAATGCATTTACTTAGATCATACAACTTGTGCTTGGTGCTTAGATAAGCATGGATGTGACACTTTTTTCTAGTGGCGTAGCTAGGGTGGGGCAAGGGGGGATATCTGTCCCCGGGCGCCAAATTGATGCTACGTAATAAAATGTTTTCCATTCTTGACACACAGAAAAGGGCGCAGATTCTTCAGTTGTCCCAGGGTGCTGGAAACTCTAGCTACGCCCCTGCTTTTTTCACGGTATAAAATAAGCTTGTGTATTTTGAACTAATGCACTCATCATCTGATTTGTGCTTGGTGCTTAGATAGACATGGAAGTGACACACCTTTTTACACTGTGTAAAATGAGCTTGTTTTTCAAATATTTTAAACTATTTTTGATATTCCATAATTAAAATTACTTTGAAAACAATTACAGATTATCATATTTGATTTTTATACATCTTCCATCATTTCAGAAAGTGAGATAATATATGATTTTTATCAATGAGTTTTAAAAGAAATATACTCTGGTTAGATCAATATGTCTTGCTTTTAAAATTAAGAAATAATTTCTGGTAAGAAGCATTTCCAGTATTTGCATTAGTACTATACCCAGGAACACTAAATTATAGAAATGTTTAACTTCCTGTCATTCTTGTGTTTAATTTTGATCTAAATGAAAGTTTATATATAGATATATACTGTATTCTCTTATCTACTTATAATATCAGTACTGCAGATTTTACATGTACAGTACATGAGTTTTGTTATTTTAAGAAAGTAAATCGTGTGTTAGTTTAGATACATAAATCGGTAGTGTTCCATTAGAGCAGCGTCAGTTAAAAATGAAGAAAACAATGCTACAACATGTCAAATATCGTAGCTCAAGATAGTGCTTGAAATATCATCTTTCATTATTTTTTTCCATATTTCGCCATTTTTTAGTAAAATGGATTACACAATTTGGCAGTTACCTAATGATTAAGGGGCTGTCACAAGATTCTTTCAGGACAAAGGAAAACTTGGTAAAACTGCATGTTACGGTCCAGTTTGCCACATTTTCCAAAAATCGCCAATTCGATTGATTTTTGCTCATTTTAAAAAATCGCTAACTCATCATATCGCCATATTAGATGGTTGCAAATTTTAATTATTTCTGTAAAACGTGCAAAAAATTAGATCATGTAAACATGCAAAAATATCTAAAACTGGAGTTCAAGAAAAACAACGAAAAAGTATTTGAGAGTTAATAACTATGTATTTTATAGGATCAACAATATTAAAAGTTTTCATAATATCATATACCATTTTTAAGACAGTAGCAAAATGGAGTAAAACATTTTATCACAAAATTTAAGAAATTGTAATAAGCAGTAAATGAACAATAAATTATCGGAAAGCATTGATTCATATTTAAGCTGAAACTTTAATGCAGAAGAAAAAGGAAGATAAAACTCAAAAATTTTCATCAACTGAAACATGAGCAATAGTATAGTAAAAAAACAAAAAGTGGTTTCATTGTTATTAATCGGTTATAATAAATAGTAGAAACCCACATTTGTTTATATCTAAACTAAATATTACAAAATGTGTACATTACAATGGAGATGAAATTCAAAATGGCGCGCTCATTTTAACCATGTGCTTAGCCACACATAATGTACTTACATGTAATAAGAATTGCTTTTATTATTTATATTTAAACTCTCTATTAATCAATTCAGAAATTTTAACAAATCTATAAAAAAATTACAAAAATGAATCTTACCTTTTCATTCATTCATCTTTTGATTGTGGTGGATAAGCAGTCTTAATTCCCCTAAGAAATTGCAAAAAGCGATCACTCGCAGATAAATGCAAATATTTTCTCCGCCACATGTACTCGGCCAGGTACAAATCAAAGTCATCTTTTACCTGCCAAGTACCCTTCAAACTTCGTTTTACGGCGCTCCACGTGCCCTGAAAATGAATTGGTATGAGCACCTGTCTCGGAATCCTTAAAAACAAGACTGTGCTTAACATGAAAGTGCATAAAACCCTCATCACTGAGGCATTCATGCGATTTCCAACAGTCCGAAATAATAATGGATCCCGGCAAAATATTTTCTTTAGTAATTCTTAACAGACATTCTTTCGTTCGCTCTTTAACTACAAAAAAAAAAAAAAAAAAATATTCGTTCCCCTTTCAATACCTCCAAACACCCATTTATCTTCCACTCACTTTCCACGATTGTATTTTCTTTTACCAAATTTACTTTCGTCAATTTCAACCACACTTCCACACTTTCCAAGGACGTCATTCTCTCCCAAGCACATCTTCACACACACCTCTCTACAAAACATCTTTTGGTCTACCACAGTGTGGTTACTCACATGCAACTCATCCATTATAAACTGATTCGTACATTTCTGGCCCCACAAATATGTTAATTGAAGGATCAGACTCGCAGGTATTTGCCCCTCGGAAAACCAAGAACCCTTTCTCACACTCCTTTTGACATCGTGCTTGGAAGGACCGGACACACGACACCCCCATTCACACAAATCTGTCACCTCTTTCCTTTCTACTAATTTCATACTATTTTTACATTTAGGACAATCGTACATATTCACAATCAAGCCATAATCCATGCACCATTCTATCACACGCCTTTCGCCCTTATCTTGCAACCGAATTAAATAAGTAAAATCCACACATTCAACTCTTTTGATGCCAGCCATTTTGCTCACACAAACCACGAGAAGCACAGTGAAATGACGGAAATTCATGGCGCGATTTCGCTTCATTTGGCGATGGGACCGTAATCTGCATTTCAGCCGAAAACTTTCTAGCAATAGATGTTGTTCTCAAAATCATCTTATGAAGTTAACTCAAAAAAAGCTCTCATGTTGCATTGTTACATATGTTCTTTTTGTGAAAAAAAAAATTGAATTTTGACAATTTCAGTTAGAAATTGGCCATAATATGACAATAGATTGGAATAGCTTGAATTTTGACAATTTCAGTTTTGAAATCGGCCATAATACGACAATAG